CATAAAAACAAAATACAACAATAAAACTTAAGAAAAAGAAAAGATTCACTTGCAGGGAACCCTGATAGACTCTCACTATAGTGAGATTTCTTTAATACAACCCCATTCCTTAGTGAAAAGGAAATAATTGTACCTCAGAACTGAAAACATACAGGATTCCATCAAGGTAGCCTGTGTGCTAAACTGTAAAAATCACAGCAAAGAGTATGATACTGAATGGGATTTTATCATAATTAACTTCTAGTGGATGGCTTACAGTCTAAATTGTTCAGGTAAGAACATAACCTACACGGACAGAAAAATAAATAACCTTAGATACTTATAGCATCAGCTTTTGTCCTTTGCTGTGATTTTCCCCTAGCGCAGCTAGGTGACATAGTAGATAGAGTCCCTGCCCTGAAGTCAGGAAGACCTGAGTTCAAATCTGGCTTCAGACACTTACTAGCTGTGACCTTGGGCAAGTCACCTGACCCTATTTGCCTTAGTTTCCTTATCTGTAAAATGAGCTGGAGAAGGAAATGGCAAACCACTCCAGTATCTTTGCCAAGAAAATTCCAGATGGGGTCACAAAGAAGTTGGACGTGACTGAAACAGCAACGTGCTTCTCTCCTATTAAAATCTCTCTTGCCTAGGCCCAAAGGGAAACTAAAGGCAGAAAGGTAATACATTAAACATTTGGTTGGAGTGGCAAATTGCTGGTGTTTAAAATTGTAAGATCACTAATTTAGAATTGAGAGGATCTTAGGGATGAACCCCTTAATTTTACAGATGAAGATAGTAAGGCCCGGAAAAGGTAAATGACTTGACCAAAGTAACAAAAATAATAAACGACAGAGAAAGGATGTGAACTCAGCTCTTCTGACTCTAAACTCTCTGCTCTGTCCACCAGATCACATTACCTTATGGACTCTTCAAAATATAATCAACCTTTGATTTTCTGTGTGACTGTTCAGTTGTTTTTCAGTTGTGTCCAATTCTTCATGACCCCATTTGGGGTTTTCTTGGCAAAGATAAATGGTTTGTCATTTCCTTCTCCAGCTCATTTTACAGATGAGGAAATTAAGGTAAACAGGGTCAAGTGACTTGCCTAGGGTCACACAGCTAGTAAGTGTCTGCGGCTGGATTTGAACTGAGGAAATGAGCCTTCTTGACTCCACCCTAGGCACTCCAGCCACCATGCCACCTAGCTGCCCTATGATTTTGTATAGCACATTTTAACCCTTATTCATTTTGCTATCATTAATGGAATGCTTCCAGGCTGCCTCTTCTCTGCCCCTGGATGTCCAGTGCTCATGCTGGTTTTGACCTTAGCCCAAGCAAAATGTCAAGTTTACCATGATAGTAATCAAATCTAGATAATTGACTCATAATTGGTTACATTAATTATTGAATCATAGATTTTAGAGCCAAATGGGGATGTATTTTTTTTAAAAAAACGAGTCAATTATCCCTCATATTGTTTCTATTTGGCTTTCGTATGATGTTTTGTACCTACATGTCAGCTTGGGTGTCATTGCTGTTCTTGGAACTGTTAACCCTTAAAACAAAATGAAGAAACCACCCAGCAAAAGGCCTCCCTATCTCCCCCATGTTGGCCCCACCTACGTAATCACTCTATCCTCTCAGACTATGTTAGGAATAGAGAGCATCACTCCTTAGATGGGCCTGAGACGTGGAGGCAGACTTTCTGGCACTCTGGGGACAGTAGTTTTAATTTAAGAAACACTTCTATTCAATGTAAACAAAAACTTTATTTGTACCTAATTAAACAAAGTAAGCAGCAATATCAATAACATTTTTGAAAATGATTTAAAAAAAACAACCCTGGAAGAATAATTCAAAGTTGACCTATCAGAGAATTAAGATCACTGTCAAGTTTTTATTATTGGAATCTTAACTTTTAAAATTCCTTCGATTTTCTTCCCTACACATTTTTTTCTTTCTTGAAAAAGTACTTCTCCTTTGCCATTCTTCACATGACATTCTTCTCTCCATTCCCTCTGTCTATGTACTGACTGTTCCTCCAAGCCCACAATTTCACTCCCTCCCTGTGTCCTGCTGAACTCTTGTTTCCTTCAAAGTTTAGCCCAAGCCAGTTTGTCAGTCAACAAACCATTTTTAAGCAGTATGTGACAGGCACTGTGTTAAACTCTGGGGAACAAATATGTACATGTGCATATAAGGCATAGGTAGCATAAATATGAGGTCATTTCAGAGGGAAAGACTTGGGGGGAGGGAGGAAAGGCCTCAAGCAAGCAGATGGTGGAATCTGAGCTAAGTTTTGAAGGAAGCCAGGGGAACTAGGAGGCCAGACAAGGGAGGGGGGGAAGGGCGGTGGCAGGCAGGAGAGCATTTCTGGCTTGGAGGACAGTCTGTTTAAAGGCACAGAATTAGAAATGTAGGAGGAACTGCAAGAAGGTCAGCGTAGCTGGATTGGGGAGTAAGCAGAGGGGAGTAGAATTTAAGAAGACTGGCAAGGTAGGAAGGGGCCAGATTGTGCAGGTATTTAAATGCCAAGCAGAGGATTTTATATTTGGTCCGAGAGGTAATAAGAAGCCACTTGAGTTTTCAAGTAGGGGTGTGGGGGTGGTATGGTCAGATCTGTGCTTTTGGAAGGAGCTAAGAGGGAGCCAGAATGGAGTGGGAAGAGATGAAGCAGGGCAATTCATCAAATTGTTATTACAACAATCCAGGTGAAAGTTGGTGAGGGCCTATACTGGGGGAAGGGTTATCGCATTTCCTTCATAGGATCATGGGACTTTCCTGATCTCCCCAACTGCTGTTCCTCCTGCCCTTTCCAAATTATCTTGTATTTTCTATGGTAGTGCCCTTTTGCACTCCTGTGTGTGTAGTATGTGTTGTACCCCCCACAAAGAAACTCCTTGAGAGCAGGAGCTCCTGTTTTTGTCTTTGAAATCACAGCAGTTCAGTCTCTGGCACATAGCAGGTGCTTCAAAAATGTTCACTGATTGATTCTCTATATACCTACCTCTCATTTGGAAAAATCATTTTTATTGTATTATTTTAATTGGCATCTTTAAGGAGGAAAGTTTTGTACTTCCCCTGGCAAGGAGTGGGCTGGCTGGCTGACTACAAAACCCCCTGGGATTTCTAGCTCTTCCCGGTTTAGGAAGAAAGTAAACGAACGCAATATCAACTCTTGAACAGCAGTGGGGTAGAGGGTTGGTTTTTTCATAGCCAATAGTGGGAATTTTTTAGGGGACTCAATGTGAAGCACAGGAGAAAAGTATCTGTCATCTCACGGTCCCAGTGTGGACTAGGATGGCAGCCTGATGTCTGCCAGGTCAGCAGTTCCCTTCTGTAAGACCATGAGAGATGACCTCTATTTAAGTGGAAAGGTTTGGAGGTGCATGTGACTGTGTGTGTTTTATTGTGGCCACTCACCCAGGAACGGGAACAGGGAGAAAAACAATCTGGCCACAAGCATGGTAGGGCCCTATTCTGCCCCAGTCTTCCTTCTGTTTGTCTTTTTCTTAAATTAATTCTGTTAAAAGAATGTATTTGCTGGATTTAATATTATTTCTCATAAATACCTGTGTTCAACCTTGCACTTATGTTGTGGGGTGTAACTTTTAAAAAGTCTGAAAGATATAATTTCTGGGTAATTAATCATTTTATTAATAATGCTAGCATTTTAATAAAAGAGTCAGTGGCACTCTCAAATACCAGAGATCCCTCATGGTAGGCGGCTCACGGTTTATTTGCCCTTGGAAGAGTGGGTATTCCTGAGGGTGGCAATCAACTCCGATTGGTTAACAATTAATGAGAGAATGAATATTATAATGAGACATGGGTTATATGGCAATGAGGGTCTTGAGGGTATGTCACTTGGATCACCCAAGTTTTGGTCAAAGAGACTTATCAATTTCCATATCACCTGTCTGACAAAAGGGAGAATCCATATTTTCCCAGACCTGTCTGAGTAAACACAATGAGCAGGAATCCACCCATGAGCCTAAATTTAGAATTTCTTTTACTGTCTGATTAGATCTTAGCCTGGCTAAGTCTTTGCCTGGCTAAGTCTTTGCCTAAGATTTCCCACACTGGTTGATTTCTGGATGAGGAAGTAGAAGAGGGGAAAAACATTGGTCTTGATTCAATAATTAGTTATTAACATAAGAGAGAAATAATAATTTCTCTCACGAGGTATCCCATTGTCTGTGGCATGAGGGTGCAGTGTGAAACACGAAGGAGAGAGGGACCTTTCCTAGCATCAAGGCAGGGCATTCTGTCCCCAGTCCATCATTAGAGACTCATGTTCTCTGAGAAAATAGACACAAGACATTTCATAACTACTCTTTTAAGTGCAAAATTATTTAGAATTAAGTCCCTATTCTATTAATCTTCCTCATAGACATGAGTCAAGGTTACAAAGACAATAAGAACATCTTTCTTTTAAAACATATTTGTATGGTGTGCACATGTGTAAGACAGAAATAGAAAAAGTGAGAGACAGAGAGAACCAAATTAAAATTTTCCATTTATTGATTTAGTGCTACACTGAATTAAGGTATTGGTAATTTTATGATGTCAGAATGAATAGAATCAAAACCTAGCCACCTACTGCTTCTAAGCAGCAGACACTGGAATCCGCTCCACTAAAGAATAATCAATACAAGCATCAGCTCCATGAACATTATCCGTCTACCCTCCAGCTCGTTCTCTCCTTGATGTTTTCTTTGAGTTTTAATTGTATTTGTCTTTAAATTTATTGTACATGCTATTATTCATTATCTCTTAGCTTCACTGATATGTACCAGGGACAAGTGAAATAAGGACAAAGCATTAGGAAACCTCTCTCTTGAGTACAAACGTATTCCAAGGCCTGAGATTCATCTATGGGGAAATATTTATCTTTGGGCAGATTATTCATTCAGTTCAATTAAAAAAACATAGAAGGCATTTGGAATATAAAGACAAAAAATGGAAAACAGCTTCTGCCTTTGAGGAGCTTCTAGTCCAGGGGTGGGGAACCTGCTGCCTCGAGGCCAGCCCTTTGACTGAATCCAAACTTCTCAGAACAAATCCCCTTAATAAAAGGATTCATTCTGTAAAACTCGGATTCAGTTTAAAGGCTGCACCCAAGGACCTAGAAGGCCACTTGTGGCCCTGAGACCACAGCTTCCCCACCCCTCAGAGTCTATTGTAATGAAGAGAGGAGTCAATGACATTTGTCACCTGGGCTGATATCTTCTTACTCCAAGCTTCCAAGTCTTCTCTACTTCTCATTAAATTGGACTCCAGCCTCAAAGGTTGGTTTTGTCAGTATCATCATCATCATCATCGTTGTCATCGTCGTCGTCGTCGTCATCAGTAGCAGCAGCAGCAGGAGCATTTATATAGCACTTTAAACTTTGCAAAGTACTTTACATGGTATCTCTTTTGACCCTTATAACAACCTGCAAGAGAAGTGCTATTATTATCCTCATTTTAGAGGAGGAAACTGAGGCAAGCAGACAGTAAGTGACTTGCTCTTGGTCACACAGTCAGTAAGAGTTTGAGGCAAGATTTGAACTCAGGTTTGCCTGGCTTCAAGTCCAGAACCATGTAACTGCCTATTAATAGATATAAGGAAAAAGCAGGGTGGGGGTGATTGAGCCAGTATGTTTTAGGAAGTCTGTAGCATTTTGGGGTGGTATAAGGAAGAAAAGAGCCTGCCACTCGAACTCTACCGATGTGCCTGGCATTGTGGGAAGTTGCCCACGATGCTTTGGGGCAGTTCTGCATTGGGTAAGCACCACTCCTTTTCCTTCCCATCTGTGTTACTGATACTCCCATTCACTTTGTCCCCTAGGTTAGGAAACTTGGAATCATTATGGTAGAGCTGGCTCATAATTAATGAGAGTTCAAATAATGCATAATTCTATTTAGTGTGAATTATAAAATACTAGGTCTCATTTAATGCAAGTCAAAATTTAATGACCAGCTAGTCGAGGGTGTGAACATGCCTTCATGTCATGAGTCTGCACTTGCCTATGAAGCATGGATGTGAGGTGCTGCTGAGTACTACTGTATAACTGACAGTTGTGTGAATTTTGTTTTAATGAGCTCTTAACAATATGGACAAAAGGGGGAATGCTTCAGATGGAAACACAACCAGTGCAGAAAAAAGAAATAAAAAGAAAGAAGAGACTTGTTATTATATTAGAATAGAATTTGATATAATTAAACAATATAAACATGGTCATAGTTGCTAAAATAGAATGAGATGTAGGAATGCGTGAATCTATGGTTCAGAATAACATAAAAATGTAGAAGAAATAAAGAAAAAGAAAAATTTGCATCAGCTTTTTTTTTTTGTGGTTTGCTAATAGCTGCAAGAAATAGAAGTATTATGGTGTTATAAATGAAGCCTTTTTTATCTGTATGAATTGAAGATTGCAATCAAAAACAAATTCCTCATGGCAGAACAGCCATTCAGACAAAAGCTTCAAGTTTACTTAAAGCAGTGAAAGAAAGTGGAAATGGAGTGGCTAGTGAAGAAGCTTTTATTGCAAATATTGGTTGGTGTGATCACTTTAAAAAAGAAAATTCAGTTGCATGATGTTAAAATTACCAGAGAGGCAGCTGACTCAGACAAGGATGCAGCAGCAAAATATCCTGTTGTTTTGAAGAAAATAATCAAAACATGTGGACATACTGATCAATAAATTTTTACTGTGGATAAAACAGGAAGTTCTGGAAAAGGAGGAACTTACATTTCTATGAAAGAATATAATTTGACCTGGTTTTAAGGTGTCTTTTTTTGTTGTTGTTCAGTAATTTTTCAGTTTGTTTAACTCTTTGTGACTCTTTTTGGGGTTTTCTTGGCAAAGATACTTGAGTGGTTTGTCATTTCCTTCTCCAACTCATTTTGCAGATGAGGAAACTGAGGCAAACAGAATTAAGTGACTTATCTAGGGTCACATGGCTAGTAAGTATCTAAGGCCAGATGTGAAGTCACAAAGATGAATCTTCCTGATTCCAGGCTCAGCACTCTGTGTATTATGGTACCATCTAACTGCCCCTTAAAGTATCTAAGAATAGCCTAATATTTTTATAGGGAGCTAATCCAGAAGCAGAATTTAAATTAAAACCAAAACTTGTTTATTCTTGAAATTCTCTTACTCTGAGAGGCTACAACCATTGATCTTTTCCAGTTCTTTGGTGATCAAATAAGAAAGCATGGGTGATGGTGTTTTCAAATACGTGTTTTCAAGTTATTTTAGTCCAGTTGTTGAAAAACAGGACAGCAATATCATGTTTAAAGCATTGCTGATTTTCGATAATGCCCCAGGTTGTCCAACTACATCGGTTCACTGTGTGAGAATGTGTGCATGCAAGTTTGCTTCTATACAGATAAAACTCTTTGCACCCATGTATGAAGATTTAAAGAAAGATGTTTGCTCTCTGCGGCTAAAATACTGCATTATAAATTACAATAGTGATGGATTTTTATCAGATAATCAGTATAGGTTTATCTTGAGGTATGCTATCCAGTAATATTTTATTTTTTAATTTTAAAACTTACTTTCTATAACTACTCTACTCTTTTGTAATAGACTTGGATTTTTCTTATGCTTTGTATTATGTTAACAAACAGATAACTGTATTTAAAATTTTTGTTGCATATTTCCATTGGGTTAGGGCCAATAATCATATTTTACATGTAATCATAACTTGAAATAGTGAGAATTCAAATAAAGCAAGCACTTCCTGGGATTCATTATTTGTACTAATCAGGACTTGGTTGTATAATGGAAAGAGTCTCAGCTAAGGATCTCAAGAGCTAATTCTAATCTAGTCTTCATCACATCTAACATTACCTACATGACCTTGTGAATCACTTAACCTCTCTGAGCCCTGTTCTGCCTAGCTCAAGGATTGATATAAGGAGTCAGTCCATACAAGATATAAACAGAGTAGATGAAAGGTCATCTGAGAGGTGAAAGCACTAGGGTGGTAGATGGGAGATGGACGGGGAAAGGCCTCTTGCAGAAAGTGGGATTGGAGCTGAATCTTGAGTGAAGCTAGAAAAGCCAAGAGGCAGAGGTGAGGAGGGACAGCACACTAGGCATGGGGTGGAGGAAGGGGGGGACAGCTCCCATGATGAAAGGCATCGAGTTTCACATGTGAGGAACACAAAATGGCAGGTGTTGCTGGATTTAAAAGTACACGGAGGGGAGTAAATTATGAGGATTAAAGGAAATAATGCTTGTGAAAGTGCCTTGCAAACTGGAAAACCTATACAAAAGTAAGGTCAGGTGGTATTATCATCTTCTATCCCTCCTGTTTCCCATTTCACAGTCACTAAGTCACCAAGTCACCTCAATTCTTTCTTCATATTGTCTTTCAGATATATCCCATTCTCTCTACTCCTGTCAGCACCCTAGTCCAGATTCTCAGGACTTGCCTTATCTCTGAAGCCAGGCTTCCCACTCTTGCCAGGTCAAATTAATTACCATCTTCTACCATGGCTTACTTTCTTCTACCTGTAGGTCGTATTGCAGCTGTGTCCTAGGATTGTCATTTGTCCATCTCTCCCCATTCCAAAGTGTACCAGCATTGGTCTGAGTCCCAAGGATACACAAACAAAAAGGAAAACTGTCCCAACCCTCAAAAAGCTGACATTCTACCAATCCAACCAACCAAATTTTATTCTCCTCTGGTCTAAGGAGACTAGTCTTATTAACCTACTCCCCCCATCCATGCCTATATCACTTCGACCATATGCAGATACAAAACCTACTGATCTTTTCTACTTCTGTGTCTTTGCTAGTGCTACATCCTCAGCTTAGAGTGCCCTCCTTCTTCTTTCCAGTTCGTTTATATCCTGCATTCCTTTATAGCCTGTAAAAAAAAAATGAAAACCAACCTCCTATGAGAAGCCTTCCTTGATGGCTTTCTAAAATAGTATCTCTCCCTCCTAGCATGTTGATATAGACTACCTTGTTCTCTGGTTATGTTTTAGTTTTATCTATTCAACTATATTAAACTTCCTCAGGGCAGGATCCATTTCATGTGCTTTTTCTCTAGAGTACTGAATATTTTTAGGGACTTAATAATTATTTGCTGACATATTGCTAGATAGAATGAGATGATATTTTTAAAGCACTTTGCAAACCTTAAATCACTCTATAAATGTGATTATCATTATAATTAAATGATGAACATACATTCCATCAATAAATATGTATTAAGCACTAACTAGGTGCCAGGCATTGTGCTGAATATTGGATACGAAGAAAAGTAGGAGATAATCCCTTCTCTGAAAGTGCTCACAGGCCCAGACTCATCTATGAAGAACAGGAAGAAGCCTTGAAGCCTTAGCAAGCATCTAACCTCATATTTGTCTGGCTGTCACCAGAGAGGCTGTTTTGTCAATGCCCACAATTCATAGCTTCTCAGTGGGACATAAAGAAATTCTGTATGACTCAGGAAAGGCAAGCATCAGTGCTCGAGACATCTCTAAGAAAGGGCCTATATTGGTAACCAAACAAAACCATCCACAGAGGGCCTTGAAAATAGAAGAGCTGAATTGTATATCACTGTAAAAAAATTTTTTTAAGTATATGTAATATATATAAATACATAGATTTTTTAAAAGTGCACCTTAGTGATACTTAATGCAGCTTTCTTAGAGTACTGGGAAAGAGCAGTGAGCTCCTTGTCACTTGCATGGGATGCCACCTGACATCCAGAGTCAAGGCCAAGCCCCATTTAGCCACAGATTTAGCAGTATTAAATCAGTCTGGCATGAGCTTGATCTGCCTCTGAGACAATCCATCTCTGCCCAGTTGTGGGTTATGTGGAAACTGCTTAAGCCCTATCTTCCACATGAAGCCTTTCCTAATTCTCTTATCTCCTGTTCTTTTCCTCCCCACCCACTAAATTACCTCATACTTATTTTGCATGTATTTCATAAGTGAAACATGCTTATGTAGCTGGTACTCTATCCTCGCTTTCCCAAAATGAGACTATCTGTATCTCCTCTTCTGTATTCTAACGTCTTCTTGAGGGGTAGGGGCACCTCTTCTCCAATGCTATTGACTCAAGTCTCCATCCCTTTTTGTTCACCCACTGTCAGCTGCCATTGAATAGTACCCTAGTTCTATTTAACGAATCAACCTCAGTTACATCTTACAAAGGGGTATTTACTTTAAAAATATAGCAAGAACAGGAATACAAACATTTTCCACCCCCCACCCTATGCAATACATCTGGAAGAAACTTTCCCCTATACTACCTTGGAACCTAGGAAGAGTGTGTTCAAATTCAACGCAATTTCTAAATAGCATTGTTTCTATTAAGTATATTTCCAAATATGGCGTCACAACTAGGTGAGTCTTCATCTCAGCTACCCCTGGACTGGGTCCTTAATGTCACTCCTTGATCCTCAGGGCTTCCAAGCTAGACTGGATGGCTGAAAATCTAGGCATTACTCCCCACTCTGACCTCCTGGTGACTCATTCTCCTGACCTTTTGACATTTACAAGGTCATTGCCTCTAATCTCCTTTACCTAAAATGAAGGAACAAATATTGAGGCAAAGAACTGAAGCCTATATTCATAGAATGCGTGCTGGCTTCCGACTAAGAGGAGCAAGGCCTCTCCCTTTGTGCCATTGTTTCTTCTCTCACCAGAACACTGCCAAATAGAAAGAAGCCAACACCAAAAGAAGGGCCAGGCTTTGGACAATTAGTGTCTTTTGAATGTCCCCTCGGTTCTGGCCACATAGATAATTAAAGAGACTCTTTTTCCACTACATGAAACCAGTTACAGGATATCAATGTGTGCTCCAAGGATCAATGGAGATTGTATCAGCTGAACACTCTGCCCATGCTCATAGGGATTGGACTTACTGACCAGCCCACTATTTCACTTGCAATGCACTCTTGGCTTCATGCTAGCTCATGGTGAAAGAGCACAATTCTCCATCACATAAATAGATAGACAGACAGACTTGTATATACACACATAAATATATATATATATATACAGATAGATAAGAATGGTTTATCTATCTCTACCTATATATATATATTATACATATATATATATACACATATGTATACATACATACATACATATATATAAGCACATGCATATATAGATAGATCTATGTATAGCTATATCTATCTATATATCTGAGCCGCTAGATGGCACAGTGGATAGAGTGCTGGGCCTTGAGTGAGGAAGACCTATTTTCCTGAGTTCAAATCTGGCTTCAGACACTTACTAGCTATGTGACCCTGAGCAAGTCACTTAACTCTGTTTACCTCTGTTTTCTCACCTGTAAAATGAGCTGGAGAAGGAAATGGCAAACCACTCCAACATCTTTGCCAAGAAAACCTCAAATGGGGTCACAAAGAGTCAGACACTACTAAAAATGACTGAACAAAATCAATCTACATATCTATAAACAACACACCCATATACATGTATATATGTACATAGATGTATAATATATGTTATATATGTAAACATGTCTATCTAACTATCTATCTATCTATCTAATGGGGAATTGATCTCTTTAATCTTGAGTTGGCATGAAGCCAAGAATGCATGGCAAGTGAAATGGTCAGTAAGTCCAATCCTTATGAGAGTGGGCAGAGTGTTCAACTGATTCAGTCTTCAGGTAGACTTTGGAGCACACATAGACATCCTGTAACTGATTCTACATGGTGAAAAAGGAGTTTCTTTAATTGTCCCTGTCACATAAATCTCTCTCTCTCTCTCTCTCTCTCTCTCTCTCTCTCTCTCTCTCTCTCTCTCTCTGTCTCCAGATACACAAACATACACACACATGTTGTTTTCCCCAACAAAATATAAATTCTTTGAGGGCAAGGGCTACTTCACTTTTGTCTTTCCTCTACACCTGGCATAGTGCCTGGCACATAATTGGTTATTAGAAGATGCTTATTGATTGATTGAAACAGAGTACCATGAAAAGCCTATTTTACATATTTGTAAGTATAGACATATTTGTATATGTATATATATATATATATATATATATATATATACACACACACACACACACACACACATATATATATACTATATATACTATATAGACTGCTGTCAGGAACAAACAGTTCTGATTTAGTTTCATTCATTTTTTTAAAGTAAATGTTTATTTATCTTTTATTTTTACAACACTTACATTTCCCAAAGTGTCCCTTTCCATCTCCCTTCCAGAGAGCCACTCCTTCTAACAAAAAAGAAAAAAAAAGTTCATGAAAATCACAAAAAAATTTGAAGAACATGGAGTGTATTACTTACCAGACTTATGAATAAACAAAAACTAGAGGGGTTAGGTTCTTTGAGATTGCTGAAAATATACTTTTCTGAATGCAATTCTTTATAACAAAACATTAATTCTGATAACATGCACTTTCTGGAGTAGATTCACTTTACAAATACTTTCCTCCTTTTTGCAGATATAAAAATCACTGACTCATTTACACCAAACTCTCCACCCCTCAGCCTCAGACATTCTGGCACAGAGTTTATCTAACATCTTTTTTTTTTCTCTCATTAAGCAGCATCTCTGAGTTTGCACACTTGGGCTTAGAGCCCAAAGGGCTTGCATTATGATTTGGGGGCATAATCACAACAAAATTTTGAGTTTTAAAGGCAAACAATGAAAATATACTATGAATGCACGGGGAGCTCATTACTCTACAAGCGCAGGTGAGCAAGACCAGTGAAGCACCTAGAGGTACTTGTGCACATCCTGTCTTTCATTTTTTTCTCTACTGCACATAGCAATGAATGTGGGTGAAAGTGAAAATAAGGTTACTAATAAAATCACACAAATGTTTGAAGTCATGAAAATAAAATACAGGAATGTTGAAGATTTACTATATATAGTCCTGAATCTATCTATACCCCATATATAGTCATATATGTGTGTATATGTGTATATATCTCCCATATACACAGTCCCACATATATTTATATATCCCATATATGTGCGTGTGTAAATAGATAGACAAATAGATAGGTAGGTAGATAGATAGATAGATATAGTCCCAAATACATATAGTCACCATGAGGGTGGCTGAAGCAGGCTCTGTGGAGCACTTAGAGCTTGGTCAGACACTGAAGATGCCAAGGTCATCCACTGCATCCTGGGCCATCTGTGATTGTCTCAACTTTTGTCTTGCCACTGGACTTCAATGACTCTGGAAGAGAGAGTGAGGCTGATAACTGTGCAACTCTGTCTCACTTAAATCCAATTCATGTGCAAGTCAAGACATCATCTGTGATGTCATTGGTCCTTTTCCAAAGCAAAGGACAAATAACAACAATATATTCCTAATACATGTGTTTGTGTGTATGTATGTATGTACATATGTATGTGTGTATATGGAGAAGAGAGAGAAAGAAACCTAAAAATCCTAAGCTTTAATGGGTTGGATAGTTTTAAGTTTTAATAGGTTTAAGCTGCACTAAGACTTTTGGTATACCTGATATGAAGAGAAAAAAAATTGTGAAACTCCAGACCACGATTATCTCCTTTTTTTTTTTTTAGGCAATGGGGTTAAGTGACTTGCCCAGGGTCACACAGCTATTAAGTGTTACGTGTCTGAGGCCGGATTTGAACTCAGGTACTCCTGCCTTCAGGGCCGGTGCTCTATCCATTGTGCCACCTAGCTGCTCCGATTATCTCCAATTTAAAAAAGTTTTTTATACCAACTTCAACACATTGAGCACGGGAGATCCTGCAGATATCATGTTAAATCCTTATTAAATAAAGACATCCTGTTATGAAGTTTTTCTTATCTTCTACTTACTTTTGAAGTACCATGGCATTGCTATAGCCTCAAGGGAAAACCCATGTTCTCATAAATACCTTTGTGCTTGGGCCTTTAACCACAACCCAACTTCAAGTTCATCCTCTTAATCAATGACTTACTCTAATAACGTAATTATTAACTGTTTCCCACAAACTTCACTTAAATGTTGATGAATGTGACTGAAAATAAATCTGGATCTGGGAGATGAGGCCAGGAATGATCGTTCCTGGCTCAGAGATTTGCAGTTCTCCTGTGTGAAAACTGAGTGATGTTTGGAATAAGCTTTCAAAGACCATAACGCAAGAAAGTAGAACAGGACGGGAAAAAAAACAAAACCCCCCAAACAAAAACCTCACTCCAGATACAGTCATGGACTATGGATGGGTGTAGAGGCAGAGGTGTGTATGACTGGTCCAAACTGACTGACTGACATTTCCTGAGGAGGCAGGAAGTATCAATGAGTAGGACGTCAACATCCTGAAGTAGACATCTTGATATGGAACAAAATAAGGAACAACAACTTCCTGTTGACTTCATGAGCCCACAAACATTTCCCACTCCACCAAGGACATGCACATGACTACCTTCTATATTTCAATCTGAAAGTGCCAGTCTTTCAGCTGTCCTTTTCTTCATATTCTGACCTTTTGGGCACAAGTCTTTAGTTGGAAAAAACTCACCAAAAGAGAGGGATTTGTTGTTCTTGTATAACAAGTGCAGAGCATTTTATAGTATGTGTGTGTGTGTGTATGTATATACATATGTGTAAATATATATATATGTACATATGTCTATATGTATATACACACATATATTTTAAAATACCTGATGAACAAACTTTTAAAATCCTTACTGATTGAATTAAGGCCTAATCTGAATCCAGAAAAATCTTGATAGTAGGGGGTAGCTAGGTGGCGCAGTGGATAGAGTACTGGCCCTGAAGTCAGGAGGACCTGAGTTCATATCTGGCCTCAGACCAAACACTTGACACTTACTAGCTGTGTGACCCTGGGCAAGTCACTTAACCCCAATTGCCTAAAATAAATAAATAAAATTTTTAAAAATCTTGATAATATAAGAGGATGTCTCAGGCATATTCACATGACCATAGATTTAGAGCATGGGTTCTTAACCTGGTGTTCATGAACTTTTTTTTTAATCTTAAAGAGCTATATAAATTAGTGAATTTATCAATTACTAAATTCTTTTAAAAAAATTTATATTAATTTATTTTTAGTTTTCAACAATCACTTCCATATGCTTTTGAGTTTTAAATTTTTCTTCCCCTTGCTCCTCACCTCCTTCCTCAAGACAGTGTGCGATCTGATATAGGCTCTACATATACATTCCTATTAAACATATTTTCACATTAGTCATGTTTTAAGGAAGAATTAGAACCAATCTGAGGAACCACAAGAAAGAGGAAACAAAATAAAAGAGAAGAAAAAAAATAGCAAATAGTATGTTTTGATCTGCATTCAAACTCAATAGTTCTTTCTCTGGATGTGGATAGCATTCTCCTTCATGAGACTTTTGGAGATCTTTGCATTGCTGAGAAGGGCTAAGTCTATCACAGTTAGTCATTGCACAACATAGCTGTTACTGTGTGCAACGCTGTCCTGGCTCTGCTCACTCATGAACTTATTTTTTAAAAAATATTTTGATAACTGTATTTCAATATGATTGGTTTCCTTTGTAAGCACGTATTTTATTTTATTAATTTTAAAACCTTATTGCAAGAAGTAGATCTATAGGCTTCACTAGATTGCTGAAAGGGTCTGTGATGCAAAAAAGTTATGAACCCTTGATCTAGGCCTAACAGAGACCTCAGAGGTCAACTAGTTCAACGTCTTCATTTTATAGATGAAAAAACTTTAGCCCATGAAAATCTGGGAACTTATCCAAGGTAATACAGGTAGTATGTCCAAGAGGTAGGATTTGAACCCAAACCTTTTGACTCCAGATCCAGTGACCTTCTCACTGTATGAGTTTTTTTTCTGTATTCAAAGAGGGGTTCCCTTGGACTTAGCTCCCTGCATGAGTTGACACATAGGGGATCCCTCTGCATGTATTGGCAGTTCAAGGTGATAAAGCTCCATACCCTGATGTGAAGAGTGGAGGAGATTCCTTGTTCACAATAATTAATGTTCTGGAGAAACCAGAGCTTTAGATACGCAAGTGAGGCTTTAGATTGGCAGCTGATTCATAGGTAAGACCACGTGCTTCCTGCTACCTCCAAGGGCAAAGCTCTCTTTGACTTTCCTATGTGATCTTGGTCCCTGGGGACACAGTGGTGTGTAAGGGACTCAAAAGTTACTCTGTGAATGGTTCCCTGTTGACCCTGGTTTACTTGTCAGACACCTTCAGTTAACCAACAACTTCTTTTATCTATTCCCAGGGAACATAGAAACACAAGTCAACATTAACCTGGGCACTACCCTGGTGATGTTCAAATTTGGCTGTGGGTTTACAATCAGGCTCTGCAGTTATGCCAGATGCCCTTGGACCTCCAGGGTTGGTTAAAGTGAATGAACCTCTTTATATGGCTATTTACCTTTAGATCAATAGCCATGAGGCTTGCCTCTCTGAAATTTGGACTTGATGTGGACTGCCAAGTTTTGTAATCAGCAAGAAAACATATCCGCCTGTGTAAGCACTTGCGCCCTCTCTCTCTCACACATACACACACACACACACACACACACACACACACACACACACACACTTCCCTGAAGGCTATTCTATCACAGGCTCTACCCTGGTTCTTTAATTCTGACAAGGCTGGTTTAGTTTTAATTATTTATGATGGTACTTTATAACCCACTGAAAAATGTTCTGCAGGACAGTACCCAGAGGTAATAGAGCCTTAGTAACATGAAACCTCTCTGCAGTAAGTGCTCTGCTGTTAATTCTTCCAGCACCGTAAGTTAAAGTTCTGGGGTTTTCCATTTGGAATGCTTAGATCATTGGCACAGCTAGCGTCAGAACAGGGCTGGTATTGGGTAGGGTTTTACAGAATTGTACCCAATGGCCTCATAGGGTTTGGGGAATCTAAGTTTACCTCAGAAAGGATATCAGTAAGAATCTTAGCTCTGAGAGGGATCTAGGACAGCTTTCCATCATGGAGACCATTGCTACTAAGGGTTATCCTTACCGTGGGACAATAAGGCTTTGTCCCAGAGGACCCTGATGGCCCGTGCTGTTCTTCAGCAGTGTAAAAACCACAGAGCTAAGCTCCTGGTTAACAAACAGAATGAGTTAAAATAGGAAGCTACTAGAAAGCAGTAAGGTATATTTCTTCCTTCTTCTGCTTGCCTCAATAGTGAATGACTCAGCAGCAGCCTAGCAGCAGCATCCTGGTGTCTCTGTCTTTCATCCCATCCACCTCAACAGAAGGCATGCATTCGCTCTTCGTGGAGTTTGGGGTATTAGCCCAGGGCAAAGAAACTCTTAGTTCTAGCTTTGGTGGCTGGACACTCTTTCTTCAGTGCTTAGCTATAGCACTTTTTCTTTGGACTCATGGACAACTTGGTTTTATATCATCTGATGTGAGGGGTCTATTTTCTGCACAGTCTGGGGCCCCTTTTTGCATAGTCCTATGATACTTCTTGCACTACATTTCTGCTTTGATACTTTCCTCCTCATCAATCCTTCTTTCCTTCCTCCATGTTTTTTTTTCCCCTTCCTCTCATGCTCTGCACCTTTTATTTGGAATTCAATGATCCTTTGTATTTTGAAATACCTATAAACACTCAGACACCTCTTTTCTGGACAATATGGAAAGATTGAAATAATTCTAAGATGCAATAAGAAGTTTGCACTTAGCACCAGAACTTCCTATTAGGGTAAACTTAGAGGTTAGGGTGGGAGGCATCCACCTGATAAATATGCCAGATGTCTCTTTTTTTTTTTTTTTAGAAGCAACAAATACCTACAGGCCCCTAGACTGAGCTACAGAAGCTCAGGCCAGTCATCTGTGCCTGCCCCTCCCAGCCCCACCCCAGGTAAGCAGAGGTCTACTCTAATAGGATGTCCAAAGTCAAGAAATAGGCTGGGAAAATGAGTGAACCAATCCCTTCATTTATACTTACTCTAGTAGAAAGAGAACTAGAGTCAGAGGACCGAGGTTCAAATCTTACCTCAGATACTTACTACCTACGCAATTTTGAGCAAATCATTTAACCTCACTAGGCCTTGGTTTCCTCATCTGTAAAATGAAATGGTTGGACTAAATGACTTTGAAGTCCCTTCCAGCTCTAAATCTATGACCTTATGGGTAGATG